AGTTACACTTGTTACACAGAATAGATTGTGATATGTCTGTATCTGACTTACTATGTAAGTGGGCTGAGCACTGGTAATATTGAGGCTTCCTGACTACTAGGAAAGGGGATACAGGCTGGTAAGCTCCCTCATCTTTTCATAGACAATAAAATATGCAAAGTATTTTTTTTTTAACCAGCTAGGTTTAAATCTTTCATTACCATCCTGATTCTCTTCCATCTGTTCCTATCAAATCTATGCCAGAATACAAATTATGGTCATAGCTCAAAGATCATTTTATAGGTTCTAAAAGTCAATTAAATATATAGCATTTTAACAGCCACTACATCACACAGAAAGGCTTTCTAGACATGAAGACAAAAATGAACATTAAAGGAACTACATAAAAATCTTTAAAGATTATTTCTTAATTTCTACTTTTGGAGACTTAATTAAATTAAGAAAAGAACTTTATATATTTTTGCTACCATTGTAGGATATTTCATTAACTTTTGTGCTATGCTAATAGTATTTTGTCTTAAACATTTTTAAAACTTTATGTATTTTATGTTATGCCTCAGAACTGAATAAAATGCTGAATTTTTTCATTGCTATATGTTACCATACTTTATATGAAAACAGTAAAGATACGACGTTTCTGTGATATACAACACTTTGTCTTACACATAGGATTATTTAGGATTCCAAGTGTGAATATTTTTTATTACAGTTATGGAGCAGAATACTAAGTAATAGTTTGGGGTGTAAAGATGTTGAATATAAAAGTGTCAAATTCAGCTAGTTTAGGATTCTTAGAGTCTTGAGTGAAGATAAAATTCATGTGAGTCCATACATCTTATATTTTAGTCCTTTTGCAATTCTAGAACTCTCAACATAGGTTGTTTTTCCATTATGTTTGTGTAAAATTAGCATTTTTTTCAGTTTATGAATTAATTTATTCAATCAATATTTATTGCATGTTAATAGGTGTTTAATAATGTTCAAGGGAAAAAATCAGTGTAAATAGCAGACAAAAATCCCCAGTCTCCTGGAGCTTATATTGTAGATTAATCACAGTCTAACATGAAAGTAATATATAACAAACATTTATGTCACACAGAAGCAAAAGTTTCCTGCTGGTGGTCTGTTACCTTAGAGTCTCTTCTTGGGTCATCTCCCCAGGGGCTCCGATCTCAGCATCGTGTGTAAAATTAGTATGTTATTGATACTTCACATTTTTTCTCTCTTTATACTTTCTGGGTGAGCTTCAAGAGAAGGATGTGATGCCAAGGCGTGGTAGATGCTATTGCTACTACGGATGCCCCCCTGCCCAGATCCCTTTTAATGGACCACTGTATGTGTCTCTGAGATCCTGAGTCTTTGCTCCTTAATAGTTCCCAACTATCCTGTTCCCCAGGGAATTGCCATCAGCTGAAAGAAAGCAGCTTCATCCTGGTCTGGTAGTAAACAACCAATTTCCGTGAACGCATGAAGTGCTGTTTTCTTGTGTCAAGGTAGGGCCAACTCTTTTGGTCCGAGTCATGCTTCAGAACTCTGGAAAGGATGTAGGCTTCGGCTAGATTCCAGCTGGGCTTCCCTGGTGGCTCAGATGGTCAAGAATCCACCTGCAATGAGGGAGACCTGGGTTTGATCCCTGGGTTGGGAAGATCCTCTAAAGGAGAGCATGGCACCCCACTCCAGTTTTCCTTGCCTGGAGAATCACATGGACGGAGGAGCCTGGCGGACTACATTCCATGGGGTCGCAAAGAACGCAGCACTCAGCACAGCAGAGACTCCAGTTGAGACCAGGTCTGTTTAGCTTCTTCCCTGTCACCACTTTCAATGGCTGCATTACGGCCCACAAAGTGGATGCACTATTTCCCTACTTAGTGGATAGTTAGGTCTCTGTTTTAAATAATGTCTTGAGTGTGGCTTCTAACCTATTTTTTTGTGGTTTTCATAGACTAAATATCCAAAATTGGAATTATGAGTTAAAACTATAGCCACATAATTTGTAGATTTGGATACATATTACTAAGTTGCTTTTGAAAATGGTTTTATTAGTAGTTTAAAGCATCATGGTTGAGCTCATGTTCTCTCTACAGCATATATAGTGGTATCATTTAAATGCTTTTCTCATTCGAAAGGCAAAAAATGTATCTCGCTTTAGTATTATTGATTACAAGTGAAAGTAACACACATGGTTGTGTAGCAGCCATCTTCTTTGTGAATTGTCTGTTCATGTTTTTCTTATTGGAATAATTGTATTTCTTTTTAAAATATTTGTAAGAATTGTTTATAAGGATACTAACTGCACACATTTATCCCATTTATTTTTATATTTTCAAATTTTGTGACATATGAAATGTCTAATCTTTATTTTTCATATTTGTTTTCTCCTTTGTGGCTTCTTCTATTCCTTTTGTTGTTGTTGTTATAAACCTTTTTCTTTGACATCCAGTGGTCGCCCTCCAGCTGCCAGAGTCCCTGCTTCCCTCCCAACCCCTTCTGACACATGTCCTCTGAGAAACAGCCACTGAACTCCCACAGACCAACCCCCCGCCCCGCTCCTCTCCTCATCTCCAAATTCATCTGTTGAAGTCCTAACCCCTAGTACTTCAGAATGTGACTGTTTTTGGAGAAAGGACCTTTAAAGAGATAATTAAGTTCAAATTAGGTCACTAGGGTAATCCATTATCCTTCACGACTGGTGTCCTTACTAGAGGAGATTAGAACACAGAGGGAAGACCGCGTGATGACAGAGAGAAGGTGCAGTGTATGCACCAAGAAGAAAAGTGACTTCGAGGACTGGTTTGGCTCCCTGCTGACACCTTGAGTTTGTACTCCTAGTCTGTGAGGTCGTACAGGAAAATAAGTTTCTGTTCTGTAAGCCACTCAGTTTGTGGTACTTTATTATGGTGGCCCTATTTAAGTAATGTAACTTCCAACCCCCTACATTCCATAAAATTCTATAAATTTTCTATTTCATCTTCTTCATGGCTTTATTTTTCTATTTACTTCTACAATGTATATGTATTTTTATTGAGTCTAAATTGATATTTTCTCCAAATTGCCACACAGCTAAGCCATCTTCAAGCATTGTCATATATTTCCATACAGAGTTATTTTAGCCTCAGAAAAACATTGTCCGCAATACCCCGGGACTGAGGTAGAACCGTCTCTGATCTCTCTGATAGGAAATCTTTTGTTTTTTTAAGAAACTCCTCAAGGGATTAATTCTTGTTTCACAAACATTTCTGAACTCTCCCTTAGTAGACCACAGAAATCATTTGTGAACTCTCTCCTCAAAGACCACAGAGACCACTTATTCATTAGCAGTATTTCTGCAGGCAGAGTATGATAGGCAAAGGACGGACTGATGAAATTCAGTCAAGGAATGTCAGTGCCCAGACCTGGGTCACCACTACAGGCCGGCAGTAGTGTGAGGATCCCTTAGGCCTTTTTGGAGATCTGTGATTTTGAAGGTATTTTCATAATACTAAGATCCTATTTGCCATTTTCACTGTGTTTACATTTATACTGATGGTACAAAAGCAAGGGTTAATACTGGTGGTGCTTAAGCCTGGATCAAGGTAAGGGCTTTAAACTGCTGTTGTAGTCATTTTGTCCTTCTTTCCTTTGTTACCGACAGGAAACAAATGCTTCACGTATTAATAAAAATGTCCTTTATGAAGCAGTGGAAATAGTTAATTTTAAGTCTCTATGCTGGATTATCTTTTTTAATATTCTGTGGGGTGACATGTGAAGTATGCACAAAGAATGAATACAGAAGTACATTAGTTGTTTCAAGGAAAAGTACTTGGAAGATTATTTGAGTTGCTGGCTGAATTCACTGATTTTTTTCAAGGTACATTTTTTTTTAAAGCATGACTGACAGGCAAATTATGATTATTTAGACTTGGCTACTTGGCATACACTTCCTTGTTAATTCAAGAAGGGAAACTATCATTTAAAGGAAAATAATTGACATTTGTTGCCAATGCTTAAAATTCAAACTTTTAAGCACACATTAGAATTTGTGTCCATTATCTGAGGCTGAAAACTTTCCAACACTTCAAAATTTTTCTGATGGAATCTTTGATGACATATACAACATCCTCAAAAGTCTGTTTGTTAAATGAAGCCACATTCCACACTGCAACTAACTTTTCAAAAACTACCAGTTGTTGAGTTTGGACTTCATTTTCTTCATATACTTACAGTAACAACAACAAAAACTACCTATACCAATAGATGGTATGCAGAAGTAGATCTGGGACTCCCTTGCTTACTGTTCAGGTGGGCAGTCAATAGATTTGCAAACAAAGCCAGTCTTTTTACTTTTATTTTAGAAAAGAATGATTTTTCATTAAAATATATACATAATGAGTTCATTATTTTTTAATATTTTTTTAGAAATTTAGTTCTACTTGGTATCAACAGATAATTCATATAAACAAACGTCTTTGGAGTCCTCAACAGTTTATAAGAGCTTTGTAAAGGGGTCCTAGGGCCAAAAGTTCGAGAACTGCTGCTTGTAAACTAACTCCTACGGCGGTGAAACATTTCTGAGGGATCCTTTCCAGGGGCGGTGAAAGAGGTCAGAATCTACCCTGGCTTCAAGTCAGGGCTCCACACAGAAAGACTTAGACGGGGCTAAGGGCAGCAGCAGCGTCGTAGCTCGTCAGCGTCTCAGTCTCCCTGGAAACCACTCTTCTGAGGTCTCCTGAAGCCCGCCCTCCTTTCCTCTCCGCCTCTCATTGGAGCGGGTTCAGTCAGTGGGCGGTCTGTCGGTAGGTGGGCGGGGCTTAATCCCTCCGGAGCCCAATCGCAGGAACGTCCTGACGTCACGCAGGACGCCGCTGCCCTGACGCTTCGCCTTTGCATCCCCCACTGAACCCGCAGTAGCTGGCGTTACCCCTCACAGGAGTCGCGAGCATTTTCCCCTGAGGCCTGGGATACCGCGCTCTCTGACCCATCTTACCTGGCCCGGCGCTGTCCGCCGCGTCCGTGCCGCCGTCATGGATCTGAATCTAAACCGAGCGGATTATTTGCAGGTAAACCTGAGGGGTTGGGGCCGACGCTGCGCGAGGTGAGCCCAGCTCTGAGAGGATTCGACCCTTCCACTGCCGTTTGTTGCGGTCTGTGGGAGCCGAGCGGCGAAGGAGCGGGTGTGAGTGGAGCCCTCCAAACGCCGTCCGCACAGGCTTGTCCGCGGGGCCGGTCCACCGGCACTTGGGAAGAAGAGAACCGCCGCCCCGCCCCGTGTGCCGGCGTCCTGCAGATGCTCCGAGTGTCCTGACGCGATCCCGGATTCCTCCCCAAGGCCCTTCTCCGCCCTTCTGGCTGCAGCTACCTGTGGGGTTCAAACTCCTGACTCTCCTTCTCTACCCAGTCTCTTGTCCCCAGGGCCAGACACGTATTTCTTACTGTGAGCTGGACCTGGCGACTCGGATCGTAATAAAAGCAATGGTAGCCGTTTTCGAGGGTCTAGTTTATTCTCAGAGCTTACCTTTTGTACATATATTTTGTTGTTCGTCGCTCAGTCGTGTCAGACGTTTTGGGACCCCGTGGACTTCATGCAACATGCCAGGCTTTCCTGTCCTTCACTGTCTCCTGGAGCTTGCTCAAACCCTTATCTGTTGAGTAGGTGATGCCATCCAACCATCTCATCCTCAGTCATCCCCTTCTCCTGCCCTCAGTTTTTCCCAGCATCAGGGTCTTTTCCAGTGAGTAAGCTCTTAGCATCAGGTGGCCAAAGTATTGGAACTTCAGATATATTTTCCTTCACAAAAATTCTCAAAGTCGGTACGTGACGATCAAAGGGATTCAGAGAAGGCAATTTGCATAATAGCCAAACGGATGCGGTTCCTCTGTGAAACAAAATCTCTGTTACACCACCCTGCCTCTCAATATTTTAGCCCTAGACTTTCCCTCTTCTCCATCCCCTTTCCCAGTAACCCTCTTTTGGCTAATGGTACAAATGTTTGTCCTGCCACTTGAGACTTAGGCCGGATACTTCCCACCTTAATATCTTCCATATACATCTGGTCACCACATTTTGCTGTTTCTATCTCGAAAGTATCTGCTGAATCTGTCACGTTTTCTCCCTCCATCTCTGTTATCCCCAGTTGAGTCCTCATCTCTTGGATAATGGAAATAGCCTCCATCCTCACCTCCCTCCAACCCATCCTTCACAACACTGGCTAGACTGATGTTTCAAAAATACAAATCTAAGTAGACTAGTTTAAACTTTAACACTATTCCATAGAATACAGAATAACAGGATAGATCTGTATGCACAATATGTAAATTCTTTCATGGTCTATTGTCTCAATTTCTCTCCCTTTGGTCCCATTCTCCTCCCCTAACCATGCCCAACTAGTGACATTTCTCTGCTGAGCAAACCATGCTGTTTTCATCTTCTGTACCTTTTGTAAAATGATCTTCATCATCAGTTAGATTGGATGTCTTTGTCATCAGCATGTTGGTGTCTTAGCAAAAATCTTCTCTGTTCCATTTTCAATAATCTATTTCTAAAGATTTTTCATTACAAACTCTTCTTTAATAGCTGTATGAAGTTGTAAAAAAAAGGCTTCTAGATATAATTTTTATGTGTGAAGTACCTTACCAGTAATGTCACATAATTATGTTCGACTTGACAACTTTATAGCGTGAATTTTACTGCTTTTGATTGTTTCCTATATTCTGACTTTTGTGGCATATTTCATTAGAAAATAAGTTCACTGCTGATAACAGTTATTTCATATCACTAATTGCAATTAAAAAACTAAGGCTTACTATGATTAGAATCTGCTGGTCCTTTTACTCTTTGAGGTATAACTTTAAATTAGTGTATCAGAAAACATTCACTAGGCAGCTGATGTGTTTCCTTAGGTGGGGGTGACCTCTCAGAAGACTATGAAGCTACTTCCTGCCTCAAAACATACAGCCACACAAAAGGTAATGTAGAGACACTGATTCTGCCATATCTCTCTAGCTCTTACAGAGGTTTATATGCCCCTCTTTATTGGTAAGTTTTTTTTTTAATTTCAAAGCTAAAGTGGAAATGGATTTCTGTTAATTTGAACAGAGGTTGGAATACCAAGGGACACTTATATACAGTAATTTTCTTGTACATTATAAGTATCACGTACAATCAGTAAGTAGTATTAGCAAACTAGTTGAAAACTATGTTCCATTTTTCTGGGAATAATTTTCCCTGTGTGTACTTGTGCATACCAGATTGTATATATGAAAAAAGAAATATAAAACACAATATGCTGTAGAGAAAATACTTTTAAAAAACTTTGTCATATTTTTAAGAGTAATTTTTAAAACTTTATATTTAACAATATTGATTATTTTTATAGAAATATTAATCCTGTAATTTCTGTAAGACAATGTAATTTCTTAGTAGACTAATGGGATTCTTTAATAGCTGCAAAATAAATGCAGTATTACCATATAATACATTTTATCAAGATAAATCAACAGATTTTTGATTATCATTTCTTGTATTCAGTCTACTAAAGCAACACTTTTCAAACTTTTTGGTTTTAGGACTGATTTATAGTATTTTTAAGATCACTTGATTATTTTGTTTATTTTTTATTGAAATATAGTTGGTGTACAATATTATGTAAGTCACAGGTTTGCAATAAAGTGATTCATAATTTTTAAACATTATATTCCATCTATAGTTATTATAAAATATTGGCTCTGTTTTCTGTGTTACACTGTATATCCTTGTACCTAATTTTATACATACTGGTTTGTATCTCTTAATCCCGACTCCTGTGTTGCCTTTCCTCCTTTCCTGTCCCCACTGGTAACCCCTGGTAGTTTGTTTTCTATATTTGTGACTCTGCTACTTTTTGTTATATTCACTAATTTGCTGAGTTTTCCAAATTCCACATACAAATAATATATGGTTTGTTTTTCTCTGTCTGACTTATTTCGCTTAGCATAATGCCCTTTAAGTCCATCCATGTTGTTGCAAATGGGAAAATTTCATTCTTTTTTATGACTGAGTAGTATTCTTTATCCATTCATCTGTTAATGGACACTTATGTTGTTTCTGTATCTTGGCAATGATAAACAGTGCCATGAACATTGGGGTGCATGTATCTTTTTGAATTCATGTTTTTGGTTTTTTTCAGATATATGCCTAGGAGTGGCATTTCTGGGTCATATAGTAGTTCTATTTTTAGTTTTTTGAGAAAATTCAATATTGTTTTCTACAGTGACTGCACCAATTTATATTCCCACCAACAGAGTACAAGAGTTCCTTTTCTCCACATCTTTGTCAGCATTTGTTATTTATGTTATTTTTCATGATAGCCATTCTGACAGGTGTGAGGTGATATCTCATTGTGGTTTTGATTTGTATTTCTCTGATGATTAGTGATGTTAAGCATCTTTTCATGTCCCTGTTGGTATTTGCATGTCCTCTTTGGAAAAATGTTTATTCAGGTCTTCTGCCCACTTTTTAATCAGGTTGTGTTTCTAATATTAAGTTGTATGAGCTGTTTATATATTTTGGATATTAACCCCTTATTACTCATATTATTTGCAAATACTTTCTCCCTTTCGATAGATGATTTTCTTTTCTTTTTTTCTATGGTTCCCTTTGCTGTGCAAAAGCTTTTATTTAAATCAACTATAAATCAACTATATTCAATCAACTATATTCAACTATATTCAGTATAATCAACTATATTCAATAAAATAAACTATATTCAATAAAATCAACTATATTCAATATAATAAATCAACTATATTCAATAAATATATTTATTGAATCAACTATATTCAATAAAAATTAAAAAATCAACTATATTCAATATAGTTGAATCAACTATATTCAATAATATAGGTAAATCAACTATATTCAATAAAAATTAAAAAAACTAAAAAAGCTTTTAAAAATATCAAATAGGTCTGTCACAAACTTATTTTGATAATGTTTTAAAAATTAATCTTACAACATTCTTATGCCCTGGTGATGGGGAAAAAGTCACCTCCTTGCCAAATCCATCTGTATTCTCTCGTTCTCTTTACCTTGTAGGAAACCAGCTGCTTCTGTAACAACTCCCACGGGCTTCTCTTTGGCCCTTTCTTATAATTCTTTAGTGAATATTTTTTTGTAGGGCTGTCTTTACTAGGTTTTCTGATCTCTGTTTTTTAAAATTATAATTTATATATTGTGGATCTTGTTTTCCCCATATAAGTTAATAAGGCATAATAACAGTAAATTTAGATTCTCTTCAATCTGTTACAGGTGGTTGTTGGAGATCATGATGGAGTAGTTATGTGCTTTGGCATGAAGAAGGGAGAAGCAGTGGTATGTGTATGTTTTGAATACTCCCAGGTTGAGCTTTTTCTAAAGCACAATGAAAAATGGGTTAAAGGAAGTAGTGATATGAAGTATGAGACTTCAGGCAGCATAAGAGTCATTTGCTAGCTGTTTGTAAAACATCTTTGACATTCTAAGGTGATATATTAGTTTTTTTCTGCTGTGTAACAAATTACCTCAAATTTAGGGGCTAACAATGAAACACATTTATTATCTCTCAGAGACAGGAATCTGGCCTCGAGGCCTCATGTGGCTGCAACATAGATGTTAGCCAGGCTCAATTTCTTTCTGCAGCTCAGGGTCCTATTCCATGCCCACATGGTTGTTTAAAGAATTCAGTTGTTTATTTTTATTGAACTGAGATCCCCACTTTATTGCTGTCTATAGGCCCAGGCCTGCTTTCATCATGTGAGGCCCCCACACTTGCTGGCCATGTGGTCTTCTCACAGGCCCTCTCAAAACGTGGCAACCTGCTTCTTCAGGCCAATGGGAAAGTCTGTCCAGTCTGCTAAGATAGAGTCTTACATAACAGAGTGCAACCTGGACGTGACCATCGCATCATCTTTACCACTTAATACAGGCTCGTCACGGAGTGATTATTACATTATCATGTACACAGACTGTAGTTTTAAAGTGATAGATCTGAGATGTGAACGCTTATCTTCATTATACCTTATATGGAATTTGCAAAAAGATGGAGCTGGTAAAAACTATCAGAAACTCAGTGTTTCCATTATCCATATATTCTTCCAGATACTTTATTCTCTTTGTATAAAGGCATTGAGGGTGAAGGAAGAAACCAATGCCAATAATAAAATAGAAATTAATAATGCAAATACTTCCAGTTAGAGAGATATGAAGTTATACACTCGGGTTTTCAGTAAATTCTGTATTCCTTTGTTTATACTACTAAAATTGGTAAAATTGTAAGGGAACCATGAGAAATTAGTTTTAAAAAGATGATTAAAATACTGGAGGAGGTAGCCATTTCCTTCTCCAGGGGCTCTTCCCAACCCAGGAATCAAACCCAGGTTCCTGCATTGCAGACAGATTCTTAGCCAGCTGAGTTACCAGGGAAGCCCATAAAAAGATGATTAAAGTGTAAAATCATGTCCATTGGAACCAGATGGGGAGTCTCGGTAAAATGCAGATTCTCATTCAGCACATCTGCAGTTGAGCCTGAGGGTCTGAATTTCTAATAAGGAAAATATGCTGTGCTGCTGCTTAGTGAGCCCTACTTTGAGTTGCAAGAATTTAGATTTTAATGATGTTATTGAAATATGTGTGGGAATAAACATTATAATGTGTGAAAATATTTAACAAAAAAAATCCACAAGATGATTAAAGTAAGCACATTTCTATCTACACATTTTCCTGTATAGTAAAACTATGAACTTTTGTAAGTTTAAAATCACCACATTTTTTATGGTAAAGGAAAATATTTGCAATAAGTTTGTGTACTTAATTTTTCCCTTCACAATTTTTGCAGACAGTGTTCAAGACTTTACCTGGGCAGAAGATTGCAAGATTGGAACTAGGAGGGGTTCTTAATACACCCCAGGAGAAAATTTTTGTTGCTGCAGGATCTGAAATTAGAGGCTTCACAAAGAGAGGAAAACAGTTCCTCTCTTTTGAAACAAACCTCACTGAAAGCATTAAAGCTATGTATGTTTATTCTCTCTTTATTTTTACATGTCCATTTATAATATTTTGGATAGGTGACAAACATCTGATTAAGTATCATATCTTAATAGGTTATCTAGGAAATAACTAAAAATACTTTATGAGTCAGAAACTGAATTTGACCTGGAATCAATATATAATCAATTGGTTATTGAAATCTTTTCAAGACATTTATAGTATTTATATTCAGTTATGATTCATAGCCAAAGTATAAAAGAAGTGAAAAAACTCTCCAGATATTTACATTCAAATAAATATTCTCTTTATGATCACAGGTGATGATAGCTATCTAATGAAAATAATATACTAGTATATAATTTTTGTCAAATATTTTACCTCCCCCAATGAAAACTTGATTCATTCTAAGAATTAGAATATATTTATGATTATATACATTTTATTAAATATAATTTTAAGTAAACTTCTTTTTTCAACTTAAAATTGTAATGAAATCATTTTTTTTCCACTGTTTATTTTAGTTTCAGGTAGATTCTGTTTAGATAGCCTTATTCTATTTAGTGTGGTAGTAAGAAAGATATGGAGTAGGAAATGGCAACTCACTCACTCATTCCAGTATTCTTGCCTGGAAAGTTCCATGGACAGAGTAGCCTAGTGGGCTACAGTCCATGGGATTGCAGAGTCAGACACACCTGAGTGACTTGAGCATGCAAGAAAGGTAACTGTAAAGTTAAAGCTACCTGAGCTGCAATCCAGTCTACTGTCTACTGTGTGTTTAGGCAAGGTACTTCACATTTTATTAATATTATTCCTCTTAAAAAGGAATAATTGTTCCTATAGAGTTACGAGGATTGAGCTAATACATTTAAGTCACTTATGACAGTGCTTGGCACATAGCACACATTAAAAAGAAACCTACTTTTTGATATATTAATTGTCTTCAGGTATAGACAGGTGAATTACCGTTATCACGTCTTTGTTTACAGTTTTTCTGAACTCAATTTTTGAGAAGCTTGAGACCTTAAGAACCTCATTTTCAGCTTTCAAAATCATGGCTGTACCAAAAGTCTAGAAATTAAGTATGGGAAATGAAAACAAACAGTGTTCTCTGAGTCTATGATAAAATGATAGTAAACTGTAAATAAATAAACTTTTGTTTTCATCTCTGAAAATAATTCAGGAGTTTCTTATGCTTATTTTTAAAAATGTGGATGTCTTAAATTACTTTTCATACTCTCAGGCACATATCTGGCTCAGACCTTTTTCTCAGTGCAAGTTACATCTATAACCATTATTGTGACTGCAAAGACCAACATTATTACCTTTCTGGGGACAAAATCAATGATGTCATCTGCCTTCCAGTGGAAAGACTCCTTCGTGAAGTACCGGTGTTGGCCTGCCAGGACAGAGTACTCCGAGTTTTACAGGTTACTGTTGTTTGCATTTTTATAGTTTTTCATAATTTAGGCATGTAAATATTGATGAACAATGTATAATTGAGATAAATTACTTTAGTGATCACTACCACTTTAAATATCTTAAAATTATACCTGAAATTTTTTTTTAATGTTTTACTTGACTAATATTTTTTTTTTTTACTTGAGGCAAGTGTGTTGAAATCTTCAGCAAGTTTTTAGAAAGGCATATATGGAAAAAAGGACACTTTTGTCCCCTTCAGCCCATACATGATAGCTGAGTTAGTTCAATTAGAATGTAGTACCTTTGCTACATTTACTTCCCCGCTTTTATTTTTTTTTCGTCTCTCACCCTCAGTTCAGGTCAGTCTCTCAGTCGTGTATGATTCTTTGTGACCCCATGGACTGCTGCACACCAGGCTTCCCTGTCCATCACCAACTCCTGGAGCTTGCTCAAACTCATGTCCATCAAATCTGATGCCATCCAACCATCTCATCTTCTGTCGTCCCCTTCTCCTCCTGCCTTCAGTCTTGCCCAGTGTCAGGGTTTTTTCTAATGAGTCAGTTCCTTACATCAGGTGGTCAAAGTATTGGAGTTTCAGTTTCAGCATCAGTCCTTCCAATGAATATTCAGGACTGATTTCCTTTAGGATGGACTGGTTGGATCTCCTTGCAGTCCAAGGGACTCTCAAGAGTCTTCTCCAACACCACAGTTCGAAAGCATCAATTCTTTGGCACTCAGCTTTCTTTATAGTCTGACTGTCACATCCATACATGACTACTAGAAAAACCATAGCTTTGACTATACGGACCTTTGTCGACAAAGTAATGTCTTTGCTTTTTAATACGCTGTCTAGGTTGGTCATAGCTGCAGTCACCATCTGCAGTGATTTTGGAGCCCAAAAAAATAAAGTCAGCCACTGTTTCCACTGTTTCCCCATCTATTTGCTGTGACGTGATGGGACCGGATGCCATAATCTTAGTTTTCTGAATGTTTCTATCACCCTCTCCTCTCCCCAAAAATCAAACTAAAAGAGGAAGTTGGGTTGGGGAGAAGGTATTAGGCTTTAACAAGGGAGAGTTGAGATCAAGACTGTATCATCTGAGTTTATCCAGCATTTATGACAGTATGTTGAACAGAATAAGCACACAGTAAATATTTGAAAAATCATTTATTATCTTTATATTCCTATTAAAAACTGTGGTTGACTAAAGCAACTATTTAAGGCCATTGTTATTAATAATACTAGTTACAACTGTCTTCTTGAAAGTGACTTTTTTTTGTTTTGACCTTGCTGTGCAGCTTGTGGGGTGTTAGTTCCCTGATCAAGGATTGAACTCAGACCCTTGGCAGTGAAAGTGCAATGTCCTAACCACTGGACCACCAAAGAATTCTGAAAGTGACTTTCAATAAAATAGACACACTCTCTCTCACACACACATACACACATTCAGGACCCATAAAACAAAGTTTAAATGTAAATGGCAAAAATGTAATGAAAGTTTAAACATAAATATAATGGATGAATTAATTGGATCAAAATTTAGGATGATGATAGTGCAGTTGAACAAAAAGTCTAGCTATTTATTCTGTACTACCAGATGGCCATTTCTCAGCATCAGCCCCCCCCCCCTTTCTAAAATTAATTTTTATTGATGTTTATTTGCTTTACAGTGTTGTGCTAGCTTCTGCTGTACAGCAAATGAATCAGCTCCATGTTTAGACATCAGTTCTTTTTTTTTTCCCTGTGGGTAATTAATGTTCAAGGTTCTCTCTAGGAGCATGAATGATTGATCTTTCCCCTAGCCTATGCTCCCAAATATGAGTTGTTTGAGTAAGGCTTTTAATAGGAGCTGACTCACATCTATTTAGAAATTGATCTGACTGAATTCTAGGATTCTGCTTTGTTTAACCAGTGATCCATGTGCTTACTGTGGAAAGTGAAAAGTGGAAGTCTTTCCTCCAACCTGCACACTTTTCCCTACTCCCCCTCTGCCTCTGTATGCAATCCATTACCCCAAAGGTAGCCTTTTTAAAACAGTTTGTGTTTATATAGTTAGATACAGTTTTGTGTTTATATAGTTAGATACAGATATCTGTGAATATTTAATGTTATTTTAAATAAAGTATAAAGCATATGACTCATACATTCTATATGTATTTAAAATCTTTAAACAAAATGGTATATCAGATTTACTGTAATTTTGCAAATGTTTCTTCATTGAGAGATTTATTGTATTTTTTCTATGTGAATTTAATACTTCTACCTCATTCTTTAACAGCTTCACAAATACTATGCACCAAATTAAAGCATTAATAAGTGACAAAATTGAAAAAAAGACAGAATTTAACTTGTTTTCTTATCTAAATAGCAGGGCATTCTGCCTCTTCCTGGAGTGGGTTTTGGAGATACACAAAGGCAAGGCCAGAATTTTCCTTAGGAAATAACTTTGAGTCTGTTTGAATGTGCCCCAAGTTAGGGCAGAAGAAAAAGCTTGTTCCTAGAAAGTTTTGATAGGGAAATTTACCAGTGTCAAGTTTTCATGCAAAGTACCTAAAATGAAAATTATTCAAAGTGGAGGATACTTGAAATATTTATTTCCTTGCTCTTTTTATATATATATAAAAAATGAGTCAACATGCAAAGTTGCTAACAAATAAAAGTTAATATTCACAATCTAGTTTTTTTCAATAGTTTTATTCTAGAGTTCTTTATATAAATATTGATGTTATCCATGAATCCTTTTATTATTAGTATTTTCAATTTATATTCTGTTTTAGTTTTAAAATACTTGTTCTCCTTCAGGGATCTGATGTGATGTATGAAATTGAAGTTCCTGGCCCACCTACTGTTTTAGCCCTACACAATGGAAATGGCGGTAATCAGGGTTTGATTTTTGACAATCAAATAAGGGAGTGAGTTATGTTATTTAAGTTTAGATGTTTCAGGGTTTTAATCATTTAACTATATATTAAGTGAAAATGGGAAACTGTAAAAAGAACTTGAACTGAAATAGAGAAAGTTGTCTTCTAACTTGCCAGTAGCTAACCGTAATGAGTCACTGAACTTTACTTTTCAGTTTCCTCATCTTAAAATTAGTTAATGAGGAAACCATCTCTTATGGTTATAAAATTCTGTGAATGTATAACCATCTTTCTAAAATAAGTAAATTAATTAAAACCTGTCTTTTCATAATATTTTAAATGAGATTTTTATATGGAAGCCAATATATATGAAAGTATTTTAATTTTAAAGGAATAGTGTGAGCTGTGAGATAACCGTAATATGTTGACTTTAATTGTAACTAGGTGACTCTGGAGAAGACCTTTTGTTTGGAACGTCAGATGGAAAACTTGGGCTTATTCAGATCACTACAACCAAACCAATCCACAAGTGGGAAATTCGAAATGAGAAAAAGAGGGGCGGTATGTTTTTTATATAACTCAGATTCTGAATTTTAGTGATTATTGAATAGAATATCCTGGGAATTCCCTGGCAGTCCAGTGGTTAGGACTTCACGCTTTCACTTCCAAGAGCATGAGTTTGATCCCGGTCGGAGAACTAAGACCTTGCCTGCTGCATGGTGCTCGGCCCCAAACAGATAAATAGATCCACCTGCATTGTATAGTTCATCCTGTTTTCTTTATTCATAAGGTAGAGCAGACCCAGCAATGTACAGAGCCACCACATGTTTATTTACTGTTTGTATATTTAGCAGGTCTATCAGTTCTGCTGTAACTTTTTAAAGTAAGATGTACTAATGGGGCTTCCCAGGTGGCTCAGTGGTAAAGGATCCACCTGCCAGTGCAGGAAACATAAGAGATACCGATTCAGTCTGTGGATCAGGATGATCCCCTGGAGTAGGATGTGGTAACCCACTCCAGTATTCCTGCCTGGACAGTCCCATGGACAGAGGAGCCTGGTGGGCTACAGTCCAGGGGGTTGGAAAGAGTCAGGCATAACTCAACTACTGAGCACGCACAGGATATACTGACAGTATTTTGGGATGGGTGGACTTTTATGGGCTAATGTTTATCTATAACATCAATCTCTGCTCAAATCCAGTTTTCATTGTTTGCTGTAGGGAATTAATTGGAATTTGGGAGTACTTGGTATGAGTCAAAGAAGTACAATGAGATCAGAGAATATTCCTTTTTTTCTAAGGAATTTATACCTTTCTAAGGGGAGTTTTTATCTGACTTGGTAAATTTGGATGGCTATTTATAAATACAGCATGAAATCTGATTGATGAGAAAATGTGTTAACAATGCAAAACATTTAAGGGAAAAGAATGTCTGGGAAGAGGAAAAAATAAAGGCAGAGAACTTGAGGCAGAGGTAAATTCAATTCATTTGAGGAGCAGAAGGAAGACCAGTGTGGCTAAATATGGCATGAAATGAATGAAGTCAGAGGTAGGCTAAGGCCAAGTCATGTAGGTCCTTGGGAGCCTTGTTAAAGGGTTTGAATTTTAGTCTAGGTGCAGTGGGGAGTCATTGGAAAACTGTAAGTGGGAATATGATGTGATCTAATTTACCAAAACTAAAACAAAAACACTCCATAGAGAGTGGATTTGCCTGGGAGCAGGTCGAAATTAGAGACAGGGAATTGAATTAGGAAGTTATTGCTATAGTTGTAATTTACTGGTTTTTTTTTTTTCCCTACTCTGATATATAGGTTTTTTTCATTCATAGTTAGTATATTTGACTGCAATATCAGTATTATTGCTAATTTATCACTTACCTTTTTTTAAAGGTATTTTGTGTGTTGACAGCTTTGACATTGTGGGTGATGGGGTTAAAGATTTACTTGTTGGAAGAGATGATGGAATGGTGGAAGTATATAATTTTGATAATGCCAATGAGCCTGTTCTACGATTTGATCATGTAAGTTCATTTTTAAGAAGACTATATATGTTTATCATTCATCAAACAATTATAGAAATGGCTGACAGTTTGTATTTTATTAAATGATTATGTTAAAATCTTGTGTTTGGCTTAAAATATTGCTGCTTTGATATTATCAAAATCTTGTCTAGACTGCTCTTATATTTGAATAATAGATACTGCCCTCAAGCTAAACAATAAATTACTTTTTCATTTGATTTCTAAATATTCTATATCTAAAGTACTAAGCTTACAAATTTTAAGCATAATTAGGCTTCTTTATCCCAAGGTATGGAGTCAAATGGAGATGCATTCTCACATAAATTGAATCTTTCATTTTCATAAAGGGGTGTTCTCCTGTCCAGGGTTTCCCTCTTCTGCCTCACGTGTGATGTGTTGAGGCTGTTTAAGAACAACAAAAAGCCACAACTCAGTATCAACTTTTCTTTCTTTGTCTAGTTTCTCTAATTGTGATAGAAGATCTCCCAGTACCTCCTTTAATTGCTTGTCAGTAAATACAGATGTTTTGGTGCTCAGATAAAGTATAGTATTATATAGATAACATGGGGATAAAAACATTATACAACATATTTTCTAGATATATTTCATATTCATCTTACTTTGGTATAAAAAGTCACCTTGATAATGATGCAAATAATAGTTTAGGCTTAAAAGTACATTATAATCCTGTGTTGGGGATCTCTTGGTTTTTCTCATTAACCCTTGGGAAACTTTCCTATTTAAACCCCAAGTCTCCTCTTTGACTTCTTTTCCAAATGCCAGTAATGACATAGCATGTGTCCCCTCTGCCAGGTGTGGCACTAAGGATTCCTGTCTTTCAAGTCTTTCTTCTGTTTGATGATAGAGGTACTGCTTTCACATTATGTTAAGGCTGCAAATTTGTTGTCTCATCTTCATTCATGATGTCACTCACTTTGTTGTCTTTCTAATCAGGAGAAGTTCTCTTATCTGACACAGTCTGGACTGACAGTTGGTTAATCAAAAAAGTTAAGGAGCAGATCATAAAAAGATAATATACGCATACCTTAAACACTGCATTTAAAAATATTTTTTTAATTAATTTATTTTTTATTTGCACTGGGTCTTCGTCGCCATATGCAGGCTTTCTCCAGTTGCAGTGAGTAGGGCTGCTCTCTCGTTGGGGCGCGTAGGCTTCTCCCTGTGGTGGCTTCCCTGGTTGCAAAGCATGGGCTCTAAGTGTGCAGGCTTCAGTAGTTGTGGCATGTGGGCTCGGGGATTGTGGGCGCAAGGGCTTAGTTGCACCACACCATGTGGAGTCCTCGTGGGGCAGGGATCGAACCTGTGTCCCCTGCATTGGCAGGTAGACTCACAGCCACCGGACCACCTGGGGAATCCCAAACATCACATTTTAACTTAAACTTATAAATATATATTTACTCACCAATATTTTGAACTGTGACCAAGGTCTTTTTTTGTGAATTCCCCTAATTAGCATTCTGTGTTGCTACTTACATAAGCCATGTTTATACTGTGTTGCCTAGGAGCTCTTGTTTTATGATGTGTGACTGGTTTTACAAAATATAAGTTGAATTAACTAATTCTGCAACTCTAGTACTTTTATGAAAAGATACTTGAAGTACATAAAGTAAATGAATTTCATTAAAATGTTGTATTGGCAAAAAAATGTAGAAATTACAGTTTTTTAAATTTTTTAACTTTTTATGAGTACATTAGGTTAAATAAGGTACTTCTAAGTGAGGAGAGAGTAAGTTATAATTAATCGTCACTTGAGGGGGTTTCCCTGTTGCTCCAGTGGTTAAGAATCCGCCTACTAATGCAGGGGACATGTGTTCAATCCCTGCTCCCGGAAGATGTCACATGCCTCAGAGCAGCTAAGCCCGTGAGCCGCAACAGCTGAAGCCCATGTGCCTCCAGCCTGTGCTCCGCAACAAGGGAAGCCAACGCAGGGAGAAGCCCCCGCACGCCTGCAAAGGGTGGCCCCCACTCTCCGCAATTAGAGAAAACCCACAAGCAGCAATAAAGACCCAGCACAACCAAAAATAAATCGATAAAAGAAGAGAGGAAGGGAGGGAGGGAGGGTGGAAGGTAGAGAAGAAAGGAAGATGGCTAAAAACAGTAACATAATGAAATAATAAGAACACAGTTCTTATAATATTGGTGATAAGAGAATTTCCTGAACAAGATTAAAAAAAACTTCAGAAGTCAGAAAGCAAAGACTAAATGTTAAATAATTTAAATATAGTAGTGATGAAAATCTGAAAGTTTAAAAATGTACACAGAAATGGATGCAGTTTTGTTTTTTTCAAAATTAGCAGGAACATGAACAAACAAGTTCAAAGAATTCTAGTGTATATTAAGTACACTGGGATGCTCATTAAAAATGCACTTATACCAAAGACTTCCCTGGCAGTCCAGTGGTTAGGACTCTATGCTTCTATTGTAGGGGGCATGGGTTCAATCTCTGGTAGGGGAACTAAGGTCCTGCAAGCCATGTAGCATGGCCAAAGGAAAAAAATGCACTTATGAACCTAACTTTATGCAAATATTTAATCAAGCCTCTGTTCCTTGAACCCCTCAGGAACAGCTAAGATAGTCTGATTTGCGGAATAGCTCAGTGGTTTGCCTTCTACGTTTTTGTTGCTAGTGTCCATTCCCTCTACCTTCTCCTTTAGAACAATGGTTTTGGGCTTTGCCTAGTAAGAGATACCTAGCAGAGCTGCTGGTCAAACCCATTAATGGGTTGCCAGCCCATTTTTTTTCTTAATGAAAGAGAATAGATTAGAATAAATCAGAGTACAATACAGAGTACAATACTTAAGCCTTTTAAGTTATTTCTGTTGCTGTGCAATATAAAACTTATTGATTACTTTTCAAATAACTTGAAAGCCACTGACCTAGAGTGTTTGTTAAAAACATAGATTCCTGGTTGACTCATCCAAGTAATTATTGTCAGACAAATTTGGGAAGTATTGCTTTAAAGAGATATAAACTCCTGAAAAACATGGTTTCTCTCCATAATAGCAAATTCCCTAAAGGTCCCATGTTAGCTATCATTTTCTTTATTCTAAAAAGCTACTTGGAGAAAACACATGAGAGGTGGTCTGCAGAATTCAGAAAATAAACTAACTGTGTTAAGAGTTTTGCTTATGTAATGTTTTTTAAAAAAGAACTTCCTTTTATAAATAAATGATCTTTGCTTATTGATGACTACTGTAGTGGTGCGGTACACACAGGTAGATGAGTCATTTTTAGTCTCCTTTCCTCATATTAGAAACACTGGAATTTCTGGCCACTTATGCAGGATTTTCACCTTTCCAATCTCAGTGTCTTAATAAGTATTCAGTAAAATTATATTGAATGTTGGGAGATAGGAAAATAAGTTTTGTAGCTTATTTAACTTTGTGAAATTTTATTGATGACGTGCTTGATCTTAAATTCGTTGTAGACGTTATCTGAGAGTGTCACATCAATCCAGGGTGGTTGTGTAGGGAAAGATGGCTATGACGAAATCGTGGTATCCACATACTCAGGTAAAGCAAATGGAAATGGTAATAGCTCATTGAAAGAATCAATCATAAAAAATATAAATTTGATAAATTGCTTTTGAAAAAATATAAATTTGATAAATTTCTTTTGATTATTTTTTTAAAGTTTATTAGTAAGTAACTCTTACCTCTAGCATTAAAAGCTTTATTGGTTAAAAATAAGAAAGAAAGGAGTGTTATTGATTTATAAAATAATTTCTTTATTATTAATGCTTTTTAAAAGTGTTTATTATATCTCTAGTGTCTTTGAAAATTAAATGATATCCTTTGACTTAAAAATTATTATTTACTGAAATTTAGTTTGTTTTGTTACTATGTACATTTCTTATAAAACTTACTTTCTTCTGAGTTGGTCATTTTTGTATTTTCACAATAGTTACATGAGATTTTAACTTTCCATGAAAGTAATTTTTGAAAGGCAACTTATACTCATCAGCTCTTTTTTGCATTTGCTAGACTATGTTGACTTATTTCATCCTTGAAAACTAAAGTTATAAATTAAGAAGTAAAGGATTGCTTTAATCGCAGTATTACAGCATTTCAAGCAAAGCAAAAATGGTATCCGAAATAATTTCTTTATAGTTTGAATATCTTCCAGCTTGATTTCTTTTGTATTTTGTTTTGTTTTGCATATGCTTTTACGAAAAAGAATAAGTCCAAAACTAAATGAGGTTGATGTTGGTGGACAAAGGGGCATGTATTTTGGGTTTAACACTGGCAGCACTTAATGGTACATGATTTAATTCATCTCTGCAGGCTGGGTTACAGGTCTGACAACACAGCCTGTTCATAAGGAAAGTGGACCAGGAGAAGAATTAAAAATTAATCAGGAGATGCAGAATAAAATTTCTTCTTTACGGTAATTTTGGATTTTGGCTCGCCTTTTTTTTTCATTTCATGAAGTATGTGATTATTGTTTTTTTCTTACTTATTGGTACCATATATTTTACTGGAAGAAATTATATAATTAATTAGTTTATCACCTTTTTAAGTGAAAGTTTATCAGTTTGAGAACATTAGCAGTAAGTGCTGATTAATATTTGGAGTTAGAAATACACTTTTTATGTATTTTTTTCTATGTTGATTTTTTTCTTAGATTCTTGATCTAAGAAAAAACAAAACAAAATACAATCTAGATTCTTAGATCAAGAATCTAAGAAAAATCTAAGAATATGTTTTTGCATTTGTCTACTATAGAGTGTTTTTTAATAGACATTAGAAAGTAGCCAATATAGATGGCTTTATTCCTCATTAATTTTAATATTCACTGCTATTGTGGACCTTTCTAAATCTATAGCTTTGGTTTATAAGTTTTCTTACTGGAAATGAGTAATGTTGACTCCTTTAGACACAAGGTTCGCTTGTTAATTGCACAAATCTCTTCCAAGATCCTTCCCAGACTTTCACCCTAAACTTGGGGTAGCTAAACCTCATATTGTTCTCTCCCAGTTACTATTTGCTTCATTTGCATTTGGCCTTTCCCTTTAACTGGAGCAACTCAAAGCAGTCACAGTTCAGTCTCCAACACTTGGTAGAACTTCACCTGGCTCATGGTTATCATTGATACTCTGCAGTCTATGTTGTCTGTCTACTCTAATGTTTTTCTGAAAGGTTCATGTTTATTGATTTCACACATTTTGTTTCTTCTCATTAAATCTAAGGTAGTCTACCCCAGAACAATCAATTTGTCTTCTGGTTAGTACTACATGTAACTGAAACCAGACTCGTGTGTATTTGCAGCTTGTCTTGATTCTTACAACTTTTAGTTTAGATATTTTAGTTTTTAGATTATAGATAAATAATATGGAACCAGTTGGTCAGTGATAGGCAAAAATTTTGTTTCTATTTGTGTTATAGTTCAAATGCAACCAGTTAAAAAATCCATTTTGCAGAAGTAAATGTCTGTCAAATTTTTGTGAACATTCTGAGGACCTCAAATAGTATATAGGTGACAAAGTTTTATATTTTCCTCTAGGACTGAATTGGAACAGCTGCAGTATAAAGTGCTACAGGAGAGAGAAAAATATCAACAGTCTTCTCAGTCAAGTGAAGCAAAATCAGCAGTACCTTCATTTAGTGTAAATGACAAGTTTACATTAAATAAAGATGATGCCAGCTACAGCCTTATCTTAGAGGTGCAGACAGCGATAGATAATGTCTTAATACAGGTAAGTAAAATGCATAATTACTTTGTTTTATGACTGGATCTATTTTAGTGTCCACTAATTATTTTGGACACTTTTAGTTTTAGACAGTGATTTTAAACGTTTATCTTAATCTTCCATTATATAATCAGTTTTCTTATAGATTATTTAAATTACATCTTTACTTTCACCCTATACATATTAAACAAAAGGCCAGTGAACTTAAGTTTCAGAAAGATTCAGGAAGGACATTTAGGATTTTTTTCTTTGGATAGCCTTTAGGAAAATTTTAACAGAGATGTGATTTGTAAAACTTCAGTATTTAATATCCTGAATAGGATCTTTAAGTTCCAAATACTAAAATAAGAGTTTACAGTACAAGCTGCTCATTAACTGTCAGTTTCCAGATGGGTCAATAGGCAAAGCAGATGATTTCGAAGAGTGAAACCTAGAGATAATAATCTATAGCACCATTTTTCAATATATTTAATTATTTTTTTCTTATACTAGAAGATAGAGAGTGGAAAGGGATGATAGTAGGATGAATGGAAAATAAGAGTAAAGAGGAAGAAGAAGACAAAGTTTGAAAAGATGTGGGGGAGAGGGAGGATTATTAATTAAAACTTACAGGCAGAAATTTCTCTTAAGTAATGTTAGCTCAGGGACTGCTACGCTGAGCAACTCTAGGTGCATCATTTATACAGAGCACAGTGCAAACTCATTCTCCTGGAAGCTATCTCTCCAGAGTAGATTAAAAATCACCCTCTTTCTGTGTTACAGGTGAAATAAAAAATTATAAAAATGGACTGATATAAATAAGCATTGGCTTCCCAGGTGGCACTAGTGGTAAAGAACCCGCCTGCCAGTGCAAGAGATATAAGAGACTCTGGTTCAATCCCTGGATTGGGAAGATCCTCTGTAGAAGGGCATGGCAACCCACTCCAGTATTCTTGCCTGGAGAATCCCAGGGACAGAGGAGCCTGGCGGGATACAGTCCATGGGGTCACAAAGAGTCAGACATGACTGAAGCTACTTATCTTGCAAGCATGCATAGTAAACATGACCATATGTAGCCCATGGTAACATTTTTAGCACTTAGACTTTTAGTCTAAGAAGACTATACTTGAAAAAGAGCAGTGAGAGATTAAATTCTGTAATCTCTGATTAATCCAAATTAGAAAAATAAGTCATAATATGACATTTATTCATATTATATTTATTTTCTAGAAGTACATTATCAAATATAAGTTAAGAGAGTTCATACTCATATTTAGAGATTAACATAAACTAGAACCAACGAGAACCGTAAGAGAAAATATGCATTGGAAAATTTCCAGTTTTCTACCTGAACCTTTTTTTTTCTTTTAATATTGATTGTAGAGTGATGTTCCAATAGATTTACTTGATGTGGATAAAAATTCTGCTGTTGTCAGCTTTAGCAGCTGTGATTCGGAGGTGAGTAAAAAATATAAAGAATTTTATATTTTTATAAATATAAAATTAGATGCTTTCATTTTCATTATGCCATTTTGTATAAAACCTGTAAATGCTATTAGAGTCAATGTTCCTTCAATATTTCCTTCCATAACCTTTCCCTCAAAATCTATTTGTATTCTCTTTCTCTGTATTCAGATAATCCAGAAACTGGAGTGTTCTTTTAAATTCTTTCCTTTTTCTGATCTGTTTAATCCAAGTATAGTGGCTCCCTCCCTCTTTTCTGTTGGAGATACTGTGCATTCTAAAATCCCCCATGGACGCCTGTAATTACAAATAGTATGGAACCCTTGAATGCTGCCGCTGCTGCTGCTGCTGCTGCTACTAAGTCGCTTCAGTCATGTCCGACTCTGTGCGACCCCATAGATGGCAGCCTACCCGGCTCCTCTGTCCCTGGGATTCTCCAGGCAAGAACACTGGAGTGGGGTGCCATTGCCTTCTCCGACCCTTGAATAATACTGTGTTTCTTTCAGTATCACTACTTTTGCACTTTGGAGCTCTTAAGTAAAACATGGCTTACTTGAACACAACATGTCATCTGATAACAGAGATGGTTACTAAGTGACTAATGGGCAGGTAGCATACAACATGAATATGCAGGATAAAGGACTGATTCATGTCCCAGATGAGATGGAGTGGGATATTACAAGTTCTCATCACACTACTTAGAATGGTGTGTGATTCTGTAAGCAAAACTTACGAGTTGCTTATTTCTGGCATTTTCTGTTTAATATCTTCAGACCACAGTTGACCATGGGTGACTGAAGCCCCAAAAAGCAAAACCACAGATAAGGGGGAGACTACTGTAGTCACTGATTTCCGTCAGTTCCCCCTCCTGCTCTTCGCTGTCTGCTTTGCTTCATTTCCCCTTCTGTTAACCTTCCAGCTCTCACCACGCTTGCTTGAACTACTCATCCTCCAGTTTCTCTACCTTCAGCACTGCCTCTCAATCACAGGAGGTGCTGTGCACCGCCATCCGAGAGGCCTTCCTAAAGTACAAACATCACGGTGTCATTTCTTTTCTCAAAACCTTTTAAAACCTGCATGTAAGTCTAGATCTCTCACTGTAGCATAAAAAACTTTCCATAATTCAGCTCTTGATTACAAGTCCAACTTAATCTCTCACCAGCTGCTACCTTCCCTCCCATGCACATGATTTCTGCCAAACTGAAGTTCCTAAAATTTCTTCAAAATGCTATATAGTTTCACAGATTTCTACAGTTAAACACAATCTGTTCCATCTGCCTGCCTTTCTGCACTTTTTCTTGCTGACTCTTGCTTACCCTTCATTCAGCAGACATTTATTGAACACTGACTCTGTGCAGAGTGCCTGGGATGAGCCCATATCCAAGCTTTTGGATGCATTTGCTGCATCATTCCCTCTGTGTGGTACTAGCTGACTAGCTGTCTCTGCGCTAGGTGTAGCTCCTGATGAGTTAGGGTACAGAGAAGGTCTGGAGAAGGCAAGCCAGAGAAGAAAGTGTGACTGGAACTGGCATTAAAAAGAGAAGGATAAAAAGAATAAAGAACAAAGTTGATAGTTATATTAGGGAATAATTTTTAAAATAATGTCAGAGTAAAACTTTTTTTTGACAAGAGATTTAACAGCAGTTGTATTGTTATCATATATGCTTTGCCATCCCTGTTTGAGAATAAAATGCAAAAGATTAAGACCTACGTTTTTATGATCATTTAAAAAATCAAGTTAGTATGAACTTCAGATCTTTAATTCCTAAGTTACAGTGAAAGATTAGCCTGTTTATATCAATGCAGGATTCTTTGAGTATTTTACACTAATTTAAAACCTGTTTTCTAGAATGGTGACTTAAAAAACAAATCTTATAAAGATTTCCAGCATATACAAAAGGAGAAAGAATAGCACAATCTCCATGAACTCATCACTAACTTTTACATATGGCCAGTCTTGTTTTGTGCTCTTTACCCTCTCTCTCTCCCCTCCCCAAACCTAACTCCAGACATTTTATCTCCTTTAATTAGTCATTTTATCTGTAAACACTGAAATATGTAACATTTGTTTTTAATTACATAAAAGTATATTTATTTTTAAGTTGACTTATCCTCTGTGCTTGCTGAGTTTAAAACATTTGAATTTTCTTTTAATATTAGCATTCTTTTTATTTCTTCAGGTATTTATTAAAATAGGGAAATAGTACATGAAAATTGCATACCAAATAGTTCATGGTGTTTTGTCTGATTTTGCAATTCATGCACCTAGATATACTTTTTTTTTTGTTTTCAGTAGTTTATTATTCTATTTCAAGAAGTTATATTACATGGAGTAACCTCTCCAATTTTATTCAACAAACATGTATTGAATGCCTATGGTCTACTTGACACTGTGCTATTTGCTGGAAATACATAGATGAGATATTTCTAAGTTGTCTGTAAGTATGTGTGAAAATCAAATATGTTCAACACTGAACATTTATGTTTTTTGCCTTTATAACGTAAACATTAGGAATTTTGCATTATCAGTTAAGTTTTTGGAAGGACAATTAATATTTTAAAATGCTGTGGGAGAGACTCAAGATGGAGAGAGCACTGAGCTATGGATTTGAATTTGAAGTCCAGTTATTACTCACTGGCTTTAGGAAAGTTACCTAACCCTTCATGCCGTGTTTTCTTCATCTGTTAAAACTTGTTGATAGGAGTAAGCATAAAACTCACAGCACAGTGCCACCCAATGATAGGTGCGCAGTAACATGGTAACAGTCATTGTTGTTGTTGTTGCTGTTGTTATTCTTAGAGGCATGGATTCATTCTTCTCCTCACCTTTTGAATTATTCCTAGTCAAATGACAATTTTCTCCTCGCCACTTACCGGTGCCAGGCAAACACCACAAGGCTAGAGCTCAAGGTAAAAATGTTTGAAATTACCTTTACTTGAAAGTTCGAGCTTTCTTTTTCCTTGGTAAATCTTGCAACATGTGATATCATTTCTTTGCATTAAATTTCCCCCTGGAACAAGCATTCTGAATAATGTCTTTTGAATGACCTGTTTTTGAGAATCTGAAGTTGCTGTGCTGTGCTCTGCTGTGCTTATTTGCTCAGATGTATCCAACTCCTTGCAACCCCATGAACCATAGCCCGCCACGCTCCTCTGATCATGGAATTCTCCAGGCAAGAGTCTTGGAGTGGGTTGCCATTCCCTTCTCCAGGGGAATCTTTCCAACCCAGGGACTGAATCCAGGTCTCCTGCATTGCAGGTGGATTCTTTACCTATTTGATTTTAATTCAGCCCAAACCACTGTCTCTTCTATTAACACTCAGCTAATCACATTCAATAAAGTTTTTACCAATCCTGAATTTCCTCTAGTTGGAAATATTTTTTCTAATTTTCTGTTATGGAAAGTTTCAAACATACATAAGAGTAATGATTCCTGCTTAAGCAATGATCAGTTCATAACAATCTTATTTATGCTGTCACTATCTGTTCCAAATTATTTTGAAGCAGATACAGGATGTAATTTTTTGGTAAGTATTTCAGTATATATGTTTAAAAGATAAGAACTCTTTTTAAACATGATCACAACAGTGTTATCACACCAAAGAAAATTTAATAATTCCTTAGTATCATCAAATGTTAAGTGTAGTGGTTTTTGCTTTTAATTTAACGTTTGATTCAGTCATAGTCCAAATAAGGTAATTTGGTTACTGAAGTATCTGAGCATTTGCCCTCTATTTTCCTATTTGGATTTTTCTGATTGCATTCTAGTGATGGCATTACTATCTATCTATTCCAGGTAAAATCTTTGAAGTTTCCTTTTGCAATGTACTAGGATAATCACTTTTATAATTAAATACTGTTTGTAGCACACAAATATATTTTATTTATTTAATTTTTAGTGTGAGATTAAAAAAATTTTTTTGGTACATTTGTGACCCAAAAATTAAGGACCATATAACTTTTTCCTGGTATTGCTGATGTTCTGAGACTCAAAATAAGATTTTCTTCAAGAGAGATGCTATTACACAATAACTCTTTCACATCTGGTTAAGGAACTTCCAGTTTCTGCTTGTCTAACAGATTGGCACACATTTAGAGAAAGCAGTATCATTAGTGACAGGATGAGGAAAAGGACACTGTCAGTCATAGCTGAGAGAAATAATTGTTATAGCCACTTTGGTAAAACAGGCTATAGTCCTACTTGTTGTAATCTATTTCATAGCCATAAAGTCATAGTATTGTATCCACAGATATGTGTATAATTAACTGAAGCATTATTTGTAAAAGCGGAAAGGTAGAACCAAAGTGAACACTCAGTATTTAATGTCTGAATAAGTAGCTGTTTATCCATTCCATAGAATATTGCACAGCTGCAATAAAGAATGAGTTGATCTATTCCTTTTGTGAGTGATAGTTGCTCAGTCATGCCTGACTCTTTGCAACCCCATGGACTGTAGCCTGCCAGGCTCCTCTGTTCATGGAATTCTCCAGACAAGATTACTGGAGTGCGTTGCCATTTCCTTCTCCAATTCCTTTTAACATAGAGAAAATTCCATGAAAAACACAAAATACAGATAAAAGTTCTCTCTCTATATATATACATATTATCTATAATATGAAGAAATATATGAAAAGAATCATAGCTGTCTGATATGACAGGTCATATGATAGGGGGAAGGTTTGGGTGGGATGGGAGAGGGAGGGAGTATTAGGAGAGGCAGAGATAAGGGAAGATGTAGTTATTAGAAATAAAAAAGATGTCTATGATATAAATAGAATTTATTCATGTGAAATTATGCATTTATTTTTGTACATCTTCATAGATATATGAAAAGTTGACTATCAAAATAGCAATAATGATCATCTCTAGGTGGTAGGATTTCAAATGACTCATATGTTAATCCTAATTTTTCTTCATTGTTTGGATTTTTAAAATAATGAATATGAAATATATAATCAGAGAAAACATTATGACTTTTTAAAAAAATTATGAACAATTGTGTTCTTTTTTAAAAATTATACTCTGTTTATAGTTATTATAAAATATTGGCTATATTCCCTGTGTTATACTAATTACAACATTCAGAAAACTAAGATCATGGCATCTGGTTCCGTCACTTCATGGCAAATAGATAGGGAAACAGTGGAAACAGTGGCTGACTTTATTTTTGGGGGCTCCAAAATCACTGAAGATGGTGAGTGCAGCCATGAAATTAGAAGACACTTACTCCTTGGAAGGAAAGTTATAACCAACCTAGACAGCATATTAAAAAGCAGAGACGTTACTTTGCCAACAGAGGTCTGTCTAGTCAAGGCTATGGTTTCTCCAGTGGTCATGTATGGATGTGAGAGTTGGACTATAAAGAAAGCTGAACACTGAAGAATTGATGCTTTTGAACTGTGGTGTTGGAGAAGACTCTTGAGAGTCCCTTGGACTACAAAGAGATCCAACCAGTCCATCCTAAAGGAGATCAGTCCTGGGTGTTCACTGAAAGGACTGATGTTGAAGCTGAAACTCCAATACTTTGGATACCTGATGCAAAGAGCTGACTCATTTGAAAAGACCCTGATTGTGGGAAAGATTGAGGGCAGGAGGAGAAGGGGACGACAAAGGATGAGTTGGTTGGATGGCATCACTGATGGGATGGACATGAGTTTGAGTAAACTCCGGGAGTTGGTGATGGACAGGGAAGCCTGGCGTGCTGCAGTTTATGGGGTCGCAAAGAGTCAGACACGACTGAGCCACTGAACTGAACTGAACTGATACTAATTATGAATTTATTGTGGAAAAATTTATGTGCCAATGTAAGCTTACCCCTTAAAAAGAAGCTCTAAAGATACAGCTTTATCAGATGGATTTTTTATTTTCCTCCTGTATTTTTCTTCTTTAGCCTTTCCTTATGTTTTCTCCCTTTGCATTCAGAGAAATACTTTCAGTGTAACATTTTGCAAAAAATTCTTGTTTTAAACTTTTGTTTATGTTTTCCATTTAGGTAAAACATTGATTATTTTTACCCCCTCACATGCCAGGGAAAGCGTGAGTTGATATGTCAATTTGATTAGAGAAGCTGCCTTTGTAATATAAGAGGTTCTACAGTCCGTTTCATGAACTGGAGCAGGGAGGAGCTGAAAGTGGGGGCAGGAGAGAGAAGCTGGACTGCTTTCTAATTCCTCTAAAATTAGGTCTTCACAGTTATATGAATTAGAGTTTTCTATAACTGCTTTAAATTTTCAGGATATCCAACTAAAAAGGTACAAAGAATTTCCTAATCCAAATATGTCATAATTAGATTATGAGTATGCTTCTTTGTTTTCATAGAAAGTCAAGAATTAAGTTATTGGAAACATTTTGGGTTTTTTTCTGGCAGTAGATTTTTTAAAAAAAATTTTGGCTGCACAGGCTCCTTATTGCAGCATGGTTTCTCCAGCTGCAGAGTGGCACACAGGCTCTAGAGAGCTTGGACTCAGTAGCTGCAGCTCGCAGGCTCAGGTCCTCTGTGGCAGGCGGCAGCTTAGCTCCCTGACTAGGGGTTGAACCCGTATCTCCTTCATTGGAAGACAAATTCTTAACCACTGGACCACCAGGGAAGGTCCCTTTCAATAGATTTTTACAAGAATAGCCATATGCTGTAATACCCCCATTTCTAAGAGAACGAAGTGTTAGTTATTGACTCACTTATCCTTTCAACAAAAATGTCTAAATTTTACCATTTTTTAATGTGAATCTTATACAGTGTACTATACACCTATGTTTTTAGATGTGATAAGGTGGTGTATGAGAATGTTTTATCTTTCAGAATGACAAATCTATAAATACTATGGTAGGGATGACTTCAGCTCCATTCAGTTCACTCAGTCATGTCTGACTCTTTGTGACCCCATGGACTGCAGCACACCAGGCCTCCGTGTCCATCACCAACTCCCAGAGCTTACTCAAACTCAGATCCATCTAGTCAGTGATGCCATCCAACCATCTCATCTTCTGTTGTCCCCTTCACCTCCCACCTTTGATCTTTCCCAGCATCAGGGTCTTTTCTAAGGAGTCAGCTCATCTCATCAGGTGGCCAAAGTATTGGAGTTTCAGCTTCAGCATCAGTCCTTCCAATAAACACCCAGGACTGGTCTCCTTTAGGATGGACTGGTTGGATCTACTTGCAGTCCAAGGGACTCTCAAGAGTCTTCTCCAACACCACCATTCAAAAGCATCAATTCTTGGGCACTCAGCTAACTCTCACATCCATACATGACTACTGGAAAAACAACAGCTTTGACTATATGAACCTTTGTTGGCAAAGTAATGTCTCTGCTTTTTAATATTCTGTCTAGGTTGGCCATAGCTTTTCTTCCAAGGAGCAAGCATACCTCCTTTGAGTGTTTGAGTGTCTCCTGTGGAGGTCCGGGTCAGAGGGATGACTGACAAATGGGTTAATTTTGCTTTGGATTGCTAAAATCTTTTAAAATTTTCTTTTACTATAGTGGTAAAAAGTTCCTGTTGAATAGAATGTCATTATTTCCATCAGCATGTTACAGAAGAGATTAAGACCTAAGTACTTGATTACTTGTGTTGAACATTTTAAAGATAGCCATTATGTTTCTAGATTATTCTTACTTTCTTTCCTCTTTTGTGTTGAATCAGATTCGCTCAATTGAAGGCCAGTATGGCACACTTCAAGCATATGTGACTCCAAGAATTCAACCCAAAACATGTCAGGTCCGCCAGTACCATATCAAACCCCTTTCACTCCATCAAAGAACTCACTTTATTGATCATGACAGGTAGGACAAAGGGAGAGTTTATTTTCAGGATATTACATGATGCATATAAACTTTTTTGTTATTTTAGTAATATAAATTCTGGTAGCAAATTTGTACTTAAAAAAAATAAATGCTATGTACAGATTTCCCCCGCTATCTGAAAGTAGGGCATTTTAACGAAACCCTTCATAAGCCAAAATAGCATAAAGCAGAGAAGCCGTTACCTTAGGACAAATCTTGCTAATGGATGCTCCGAATCAATTGCGAGAAAGCACAGATGCTCACAGAGTTCAAAGCTGTGCTGCCTGGTGCTCAGAAGCTGAGTGTAGCTCCTGAAGGAGGGGCTTGGTGGGGCCTGTCTCGGTGCTGCTGGGGTGCAGGCTACTTCTCTAACAGCTTGCTGCAGAACAGACACTGAGGCTATTTTTGCTTTGTACCCTTTTTTGTAAAAGCAAAAATCCTCTTTAGATTTTTTTGGTTACTGAAAATAGGTACTCATGTAGGCCTTTCATAAAGTCAAAGTGGCATAAAGTGAGCTTTCAAAAAGTGGGGGATACCTGTGTTAATATTTCTAATAGAGATGAGTCTTTGTCTTCTTTTAGTGGCTGATTTGAGCTGGGCTCTCCTTGGATTATGGGCTTATATATGTTCCTACATGACATTATGGAAATAATTTAACTCTCTGGGTTTTGGTTTTTTTATATCTGAAAATAAAGTTGGTGTGGAGATCTCAAGAGTTTCTTCTATTCTGTATTTTCTTAAAATTCTTTCTGTACCTTTAATTTGATAAACTTGTATTTTCTTAACTATCCATTTGATTCATTTTACATTTATTTAATTTACTTTACAACCTTTTTTGTGTATGTGTGATTTGCAGGATTAATTCCATATCCTTGCAAAATAGAAGGTATCATTCCTTAACTTTTCTAGTGGCATGCAGCTAGTGTTTCAAACCCACGTCTGTCTGTCTTTAAAAAGCCCAGTCCTTTGCTTTCACATTATGCTGATTTTTTTTCCTTAAATGTGTAAGTATGTTTGTAGTTTGTATAATAAAAATACTAGATGAACTTATGAAAAATGGAATTGACCTAAGTAAACTGAATTTTTATTTGTAAAGGCATGTTATAATGAAAACAAGCTATTTATGTCATTTAACTGTTAAAGTACAGGTATAGCAAAATGTTTATCTGATGGGTAAGATTAACCTGAGAAAAATTAAATGGCTGTTTTTATGTTTGTAACTACTATTGCAAAATTCTGTTTTTTAATGTATTAAGTATATATAATACCTCTATGTATTCCCACACAAATATGTATACTTCTATTAAATTGCAGACCCATGAATACACTGACTTTGACAGGCCAGTTCAGTTTTTCTGAACTTCACTCCTGGGTGGTTTTTTGCATGCCTGAAGTTCCTGAAAAACCTCCAGCAGGAGAATGTGTGACATTTTATTTTCAGAACACCTTCCTGGATACACAACTTGAAAGTACCTACAGGTGAATAAAACTTATTTGTGGTTCACATGTGTTTTTACATAAATGGAACTTCTAAATTTTCATATGTTTTAAGACAGTAATTTGCAAATAATGTAATTTGAAAACTATACTGTTCAAGAGAATCTATTGAAAAGCAAGTGGGATTAATGATTGACTAGCAATAAATATGAAAGATTGATATGTTTTCCATTCTCAACCATAACCAGTTAGAAAATAAATTATTTTTAAAAAATGTTTCAGAGCAACAATAACAAAATATTCATAAAAATCTGTGGGAATGCTCTTTTTTAGAAATATGTAGAATTTCATGAAGAAAACGTTAACATTTTATTGACATAAAAGACTTGATTAAATGGAGTAATATATTCCATGGTTATTAATGTGAAGACATTGTAAACATTCAAGTCCTTCCCAGATTGACTTGAACATTTATCCTAATTCCATTTTGAATTACAAGAAGAATGACCATTGAGTTTCTTTATGCAAAAATAAGAAATGGCTCAGAATTTGAAATCTTAGAACATGCAGGCTTTTGAAGCTACCACATTATGAGATGAAGGCCATACTCTCATACTCTTCCTCAGACTCATAGTTGCCCTCCTGCCCTCTTCACTGTCCCTCCCTCACATAGGCCTCCCTACTTTCTGTTTCTGGATATAGTGGAGGCCAAAGTTTTCTTCTCCTGTGTTCTTTTTCTGAATGTGTTGGGTAAGGCTGGTTTCTCTGTAATCTGCTTTGACCTTGTACCCTTAAACTTTTTCTTATTCTTTCACAGCTGTAGGTTGGTATTGTCTGTTTGATCTTTTGTTTTATTTTAATTTTGTTGTTTGGAAGGGAGAGGGCTTCTTATCTTCCCTCTGTCTCTGTCTCTTAAGATTGTTTCCCTGAGCAGTTTACTGAGGTATTATATTTCTTGCTTTCTAGCTGAGATTTTACCACACTAAGTTTAGCAAACAGCAGTGAACATGTAATTTTACCTTTGAATAATAGCCTTTGGGACCAAGAACTCTCCAGAAATCTAATTGGTTTCTTTTTTTAATGTATTTATTTCCCCAAATCTTGCTTATATAATTGGTTTTAGTATCAGTTCTAAGGGGCCATTTCACTGTACCCTCCAGGGGATCTTATCTGTGTCTAAGCCTGGAATCATGGCTTGTGTTTTGGAGTATGACAGCGAACCTCACACTGTAATCATAGTAGACAATTTGACAGGCCCCTGGCATGTTATATATTTTTATAGTAGCACATCTTTGCTTTTTATCATTCTGTATCCTTAAATATTCTTAACAGTAAAAACTCTGCTTATCTTTGAAGGTCCAACTCAGTAGCTACATTTTTGAAGTTTTCCTGGATGTTCTTCTCTGTTCCCATAGCATTTTATTCTTACCTGTCTTAGATTTTTATTGTTACTTGTTTGAAGTATGTAATAATTTTTATTCTAGCTAGTCTCTAAACCAGATTGTAAGCTTCTGGGCAGAGTTCATTTCTTTATTATTTTTGTTCGTATCCTTACGTGTCTAACACGTGGCTTTGAACATAGTGTTGTTTAGTCGCTAAGTCATGTTCAATTCCTTTGCAACCCCATGGACTGCACCTGGTCAGTCTCCTATGTCCATGGGGATTCTCCGGGCAAGAATACTGGAGTGGGTAGCCGTGTCCTCCAGGGAATCTTCCCAACCCAAGGATCTAACCCAGGTCCTCTGCATCGCGGGCGGATTCTTTACCACTGAGCCAGCTGGGAAGCCCCTTGGACATAGTGGTACACTCAATAAGTGTTTTTTGGCTACCTGATTAAGAAATATATATTGAAGAAGTATAGGAGTATATACTCTGGAGATAGACATGCTTAGGTTTGCATCTGGTCTGTGACTCACCAGCTATTCGACCTCAGCTAGGTTACTTTCTGAGTTTCAGTTTCTTTTCTGAGGAATGGAAATAATAGCACTTACTTCACTGAATTGTAACGCTTAAAGGAAGATAAACTGTGTAAGTCGTTCTACAGTGCCAGGTACTGTATATGTATTTAATGTGAAATTTCATTAAAGTTGAAGACTAGTGGGAAAAATCTCATGATATCTAAAATGTAATTGGGATCAAAATAAGTATGTATTATTAATCTCCCTAGTAAAAAAATTAGCATTTGTCTACAGCTAGCCAGGGGCGACGGAGCCTGGTGGGCTGCCATCTATGGGGTTGCACAGTCAGACACGACTAAAGTGACTTAGCAGCAGCAGCAGCAGTCAGTATGAAACCAAATAAAAAGGCCACATTGAATATGTAAAGATAGTATATATTAATTAGGTCATCATAAAAAGGAACCAAATGTAAGCAGGCTTAACAAACAAAAGGAATTTATCAGCTTGTATAACTAAGTAGTCTGCTTCAGACACAACTGGATCAGAAGCTTAACTGATCCCTTTACCCCTCTCCATCCTAAGACTTCATCGCTTGTCATTGCTCAACTCTGATTCTGTCTGCTCTTGGTTTTCCTGTGTGGTGCCATGGGGGCCACCAACAGCTCCATCCAGCTTTATGTCTTTTCAGCTACCATAGCCTTGCTTTTCCACTAGTTCCAATAAAAGCCCCACGATTATCATCATTAAACCATGAACCACTGTGGTCATGAACCACACGTAAAAGCTTCTTCCTAAAGTCCCAGAAATAGGGTTGAGGCCAATGAAACTATAAGGATTGAGAAAAAGGGGAGAGAGAGGACAAAGGAGTTCCCTAAAAAAAAAGAAGGGTCCTGTGATTATAGATGTTACTCTTAGGTTTGATATTTAAGGATGAAGCATGGGGTCATGCTGTTAATCTATGTGTTACATAAGAACTGATATGAAAGTAAGCAATTCTAAATGTATTTTATATATATAAAGTATTAGCTATTAGAAATTTTATTAGTGAAAATGAATAAAAAAGTTTTAAATGAAGACTTAAATTGTCGTATCTTTAGGAGGCATATGTTTAACATCTTTTACTCAGTTTTACAACTATGTATAGAACTTGAATTACTACAACAGTAATAGATTACATGTTTAAATATGCTTTACATTAATAGTGAGATGTGTATATAAAGAAATTTAAAACTAAATGATGTCTAAACACAAGGTTCTAGTCACAAAATATGTGTTTACGGGACATATTTATTGGATGTACTTTCTAAAACTGTTTCTTTAAAATATTAATTTTATAGAAAAGGAGAAGGAGTTTTTAAATCTGACAACATTTCTACTATATCCATCCTAAAAGATGTGCTCTCTAAAGAAGCTACAAAAAGGAAAATTAACCTCAACATATCTTATGGTAAAAGAAAAGCATAAAAAGAATCATTCTTTCTGTTTTGGGGGGGTTGTTGTTACAATAAGAATGTTACTGATCAAAGTGACTTATCTAATTGTGCCTGCCTCAACTTCTAGAGATAAATGAAGTATCAGTCAAACACACTTTAAAACTAATCCACCCAAAGCTGGAGTACCAGTTGCTTTTGGCTAAGAAAGTGCAGTTAATTGATGCTTTAAAAGTAAGTATGCCTGCCACAGATTCATGATTATTATTTTATTGTGATTGGATTTCTAAAATGGTAAATAACTTAAATTTTTATACTTTAAGTCCACTTTACACTGGACTGAATTTTGAAATTAAGGTGCTTTTATTTTTAATTTTAAATAAGGAATTGCAGGTTCATGAGGGAAACACAAACTTTCTGATACCAGAATATCGCTGTATTCTAGAAGAGGCAGATCACCTACAGGAAGAATACAAAAAGCAACCTGCACATCTTGAAAGACTCTATGGTTAGTTGACTATTCTAGCATACCTTGTCATATTCTTTTCTATTGGCTGTTTGCAAAGGATCATATGAGGGAAGCTGGGTGGAAGGAGACAGGGGAATATCACAGCAGTCATGACTGAGACAGGAACAGCAGTGTACTGCAAAGTGTATTTTGTCAAGCTGGTTTTAATGTTTAATATTTTTACTTGAGAATATACAAGTAAACATTAACAAATGAAGTAAATGTAATGCAATTAATTTATATATATGAAGAAACCTGGTATGATACCTTATGAAACATTATAATTTAGGCTATATATCATACAAATAATATTCAGTTTTCATTGCTATTTTGAAATATCAAAATACAGCATTTAATATTTTTATGCAAAACTGAATAAGGGCTATATATGTGTTGTGTCAGTTTATAGTTTAGAACTCATTTTGCTTTGGTGAAAAGAAGTTGAGTGTTTCACAATATATTGAAAAAGCAAGAGCAAGAGGGAGATGTGAGGAGGCAGAGAGAGAGGAAGGAAAGAACAGCTTAAGGAAATTTTTTTTTCAATCTTTACATAAGACCTGATATGCATAGTATACCTATTTATTTATGCATCTTTATAATCAGGTGGGATATTTAATCCTTACAACAGCACTGCAAGATAGATGATGCTGTCTCTGTTTTTTCACATTTTTTAAAACTGAAATCTGAACTTAAGAATTTGCCATATAAGTAGCTAGTGGCAAAGCCTTCATTAGGACCGCCTTGCCCCAAGATGCATGCTTTTTGCACTGTGCCAAGTCTTCTATGGAGTAGAATTGGTATCATCTGTCCATATTGATCCTTAAGATCTTCCTAATAATTTATTTTATACCCAAAGACTTGCTCACAAGCTATAACAATAATATCTGATATATTAATATTTGCCACATGGCAAGCACATGATCTTTTATCCTCATAATAACCTAGAAGATGGGTGGTACAGAGCTGCCATCTCTTATCACCAATTTTGCAGTCCAGAAAGCTTTGAGATCAAAAGCATGTAACCAGTTGTTAGGAGAGTTATTAGCCAAATGATTTATATTTTGAAATTTGCCATAAAATCCCCCCCAAATAAATATTTTTTAATGCACCAATCCTTTTTGGTGTGTATGTTAATACAAATTACAGGTGTTAAGAAATTCTCAAGCAATCACTTTCATTAAATAATGTGTGGTTAATCAATTTAATCAATGACAAAAATTATTCTTTTTTCTTTGTAGGCATGATCACTGATCTTTTCATAGATAAGTTCAAGTTTAAAGGCACCAATGTGAAAACCAAAGTGCCTCTTTTACTGGAAATTCTGGACAGTTATGACCAAAATGCACTGATTGCTTTCTTTGATGCTGCATGAAATATAAACAAGGTAAAATTCCAAAGAAGTTGTCTGTTTAAATGAAAATTGTTAAAATAGAATTACAAGCTAACTGTACATACTTTTATTTCAAGTGCTTTTTAATACCATCTAAATATAAATGAAGTATAACTTGTTTTTTGTAGCGCTTTTTTTTTTGGCAAATGTAATTTTTTTAAAGAGAATTTTTATTTTTTTTGAAAATGGAATGATTATAACAGATTTTAATGAATTTTTTTTCAAGTGGCTGTTTTAACTTTCAAATCAAAAAATATTGTTTGGAAAATAGACACATTTAAACTTTTAACAAGCTAACACATATGTATAAACTGCTTTACAGTTTTCAAAATGTATATACATATGTGATCTCAATTGATCTTCACAGTATGTTGATTATTTTGTCAAATCATGTAGGAAAACTGATTCTCAGTGAGACTGTGTTTAAGAGGACATGCTGTTATTTCATAAATGTGGGACCCAAGTTCTGGTGCCTCAGGTATGTTTTGGTTACTATGTGTGTTGTCAACTAGGTGATATAACCTATAAATTTTTTTTCTAGGAATTGAGGTTGATTTACAACTGATTTTGCTGTTGCTTGGTAATGTTTTGTGACTTGTACTCAGTTTGTTAAATACTTGGGTTGGCTCATTACTTTAAATTGTGGCCAGGGAAATCAGACCTTGCACAGATTGGGGGGATTTTAACTTGATGTGCTGTAACCAGTAGGGCTATACAAATGTACTACATATGAATAGTACAGAAATAGTGATGGCTTCTTAGATTTTCCTGCACTAATAAATACTAATTTCCTTTTTTATCATATATGGAGGGAAATATAACTTTAAGACTATGGAAGTCATCAATCTTCATTCCTATTTATTCATATTCAGGTGAATATTATACTTAAGATTGTGCTATTTTAAAGTGGCATAAGGATTATAATAGAAAATAAACTATTCTGTGTTTTCAAAAAGGGCACACATTAATTTGTTGGAAAACAAGTATATTTACTAGTTATGTGCAAGCCTTGTATATTAAATATGAAAATTTGTTAAAGGCACATATTTCTATCATTTTTATTTTAATAAGGCCATATTGTTTTTACTATATTTAAACAACCTTCATTTCTAAATGGAACACAAATTATATCTAGGTCACTGGAATTTCACTCCGTGCTTTTTGTTGGCTGCCATACCTTGGGGGAAAAAAAGAGATAAAAATTAATGGCTGTCTAGTTGAATTTCTTGTATATTAGTTTGTTATGTATATCAACAGTAATTCAAGGTGGCAGTTTAATTGAATCTTCATGAAGAAAAATAAAAAGGATAAGACTGTGAAGAAGCACGAAAATGGTAAGATGACACTATAGTCATCCACTTGAGTGTCAATTACATAAGCAGCGTGTGAAATGATTTATGCACGTTATTTAATACTAATGATAAGTTATAGCATGTAGACATTATCACCCCGGTTAACAGATAGGAAAACTGAGAATCAGAACATTGAGTAATTTGAACAAGACCACCAGGCCAGTATGGCCGGACCCGATTTTAAACCTTGAGAGATTAGTCAGGCTAACTGGAGGTCCTAAGGCTAAAGCCCGGGTGGTGGTGGTGTGGTCTTTAAGTCATGTTTGACTCTGCGACCCCATGGACTAATCCGTCAGGCTGTATGCAAGGCCCACTAATAATCGCTAAAAGGTACCCCACCTTGTACTAGCGGCAGCCCCTACCCTAAGACAGGAACCGCTTCGCTGCGGTATTTAAAGCCACCATAAGCATAGTCCCCGCCTCTCCGCCCTGCGCAGGCGTCCTTCCTTCTGCCGCCGTTCGCTGTTTCTTCGCCCCGCTCCGCCCCTGCTCGGCTGCCTTCGCAGCCGCCTTCATTCGCCTGCGACCGCGGCGCCCGAGTGACGTCACAGGGACCGGCACCTTTCATTGGTCCATTTCAATAGTCGCGGGATACTTGAACTGCAGGAACAGCCGCAGCTCCGGCGGGCTGCTCGCTGCATTTCGGGGGCGTCCTCGTCCCTCCACGCCCGGCAGTTTCTGCGTCCGCCTTTCTCAGTCTCCTCGGTCCTACAAGGTCCCGAGCAGACGGGCAGGCTGGCTCGGGCTGCGGCGGGCGGGTACGGCTGGAGTGTTCCTCGGCTGGTCGGCGGGACGCAGTGCACGCTGCTTGGCGCCGGGCTGATCCCGCCGCGCCCCCGGGAGCAGTGATGTTGGGCAGCTCCGCGCACGGGCCTGCGGCCCGCGAGGCGGGTTCGGCGCTAACATTGCAGCAGACGGCGTTCCAGGAGGACCAGGAGAACGTCAACCCCGAGAAGGCGGCGCCCGCCCAGCAGCCCCGGACCCGGGCTGGGCTGGCGGTACTGAAGGCGGGGAACTCACGGGGTCCAGTGCCCCAAAGGCCTAAGACGCGACGGGTAAAGCAATGAGCGATATCCTCAGGAGGGAGGGCCGAGCGGGGGTTTTGCACGGGTTTAGTCGGCAGAGGAGAGTGGCGAGAAAGCATTCCCTGGGATTTTCGCGGGAGGCCAGGGTCTGGAGTCCCTTGATCCCTGGGTTTCTGTAGTGTAGGACGCCACATTACTCCCATTAGTTACTCTCCCATACTGTCCCTGACAGCACTATGCGTTCATGCTGCCTCTCACCTCTCCATTGGGAGTATTTTTCCATAGATAATGGGATCAAACCAAGCCCCACAACGTTGCGTGTGGTCTTTGCCCGCCTCCGCGCCTTTCTGCTTTAAACCCCAGGCACTATTCCGACCTTCTTCATCCTACCCATATGGGTAAAGAAACTACCTCTACTTTGGGCAAAGGTATAAAAAATACTGCTTTTGGTCAATTCCGCCATCTTACTGAATTTGCTCTGTTGCTCCACCCTGGGGTGAAAGAGGAAAACCACTTTTGTTTTTTGCCATCTCTGTTAAATTTGGCATCTTTCGGCCTGCCACTCCAGCCATCTCGTGGCCTAGTTTTGCGTAATTCCATTTGGTGTGACTCTGAAATCTTTGGTGTCACAGGAATGCCTATGACAAATTGAAGCATCTCTTCTTTCTCCAGCTACTCAAATTTCCTTGCCTAAACTTTGCCCCCCCAAGGTTTTAATTTTCCTAATAGAGGATTTGGGACTAAACTCAGCAGTATAAGGGGGTGAAAGTAAAATTCCACTTAATAGGCTCAAAGCAGTTAATTATTTCATTTTAGGTTGCACCTCTTAAGGATCTTCCCATAAATGATGAGCATGTCACTGTTCCTCCCTGGAAAGCAAACAGTAAACAGCCTGCATTTGCCATTCATGTGGATGAAGCAGAAGAAGAGACTCAAAAGAGGCCAGCTGAATCTAAAAAATCAGAAAGTGAAAATGTCTTGGCTTTTAATTCAGCTGTTACTTTACCAGGACCAAGAAAGCCACTGGCACCTCTTGATTACCCAATGGATGGTAGTTTTGGTAAGTTTTAAAGAAAACTTGAATAAATGTAATTATTAAATAGGTTGGATTAATATTTTCCTTTTAAGACGTTTTACCTGAGCCTTACTACATTATGAGTTAGGCGTAATGTAACAAGTTTAGAAAGGGTGTGACTTATCTCAGACCTCACAGCTAATCCGTGACCTGGTGACCTCCAAAAAGATTCCAATACTGTGCTCCTTCTGGTACACTGCTAGTCACATCAATTTCATTAGATCCCAAAGACTTAATTGACCCTCGAAATATTTGCTTGGTTGGGAGAATATATTTCAGTTAACTTTTTTCGTACCATTTCAGAGAATGCCATCTGAGGATGCAGCTTTAAATACTGAGATAGCCAACATCCCTTCCAGCTCTAAAACTTTGTTTCTGTAAAACCCGTCTGAGTGATTGTCTGATATCAGAGAAGGACAATTGTCTTCCTGTGAGTCAGAGTAACTGCTATGGACAGCTCTGTCTACAGTTTGTGCTGCTTTGCCATCAGGCTATGGGTGGACAGCTCACTGAATTCAATATCAGTTTTAGTTGTATAAATGAGAGGTATAGCAGAGAAGAACTTTGGAAATACAGTAATTTGTGTATTCTTATTTAAAATTTGCAGCAAATTTTAACCTCAAAGTAAACTTTGAGCTGAAATAATAATGGACAACATTCGTTGCCTCCAAAGATGAATTTACCAATCATCCATAAATTGTACCGTTAATATGTTTGAACTGCCCATGACAAATCTGATTTCCTCTTTAGCACACTTGTGAGCCCTGCTTCCATTGTTGCCTGGATTATGCTTTGCAATGTTAGACTTTGGTGTCTGCAAACTCTCTTATGACAAATCCTAGATATTATCTCAAAGTTTGGATTTTAACCTTGTTCTAACAGAACCACTGTCCTCCTATCATGTGAGATGAATGATGGTTTAACTTAATAACCTGCTCCCCAAATTCATTTTCCTGTTAATGGTCTATCGATATTTTAATTAAAATCATTCCAAAAGTAAGTGGACAGAGGTACTAAAATGAGAGTTAAATCTTATATGTATTTTGTCATAAAAAGCTCTTTTAGTTGGATGAAATAAGCTTATTGATAGTATGGGACTCCTTACAAGGACAATCATTTTTAGCTCTTAAGTCAAAAACTAAGTGAACTTAACTGTATTTTTTAATTGTCCCAGAGTCTCCACATACTATGGAAATGTCAGTTGTACTGGAAGATGAAAAGCCAGTGAGTGTTAATGAAGTACCAGACTACCATGAGGACATTCACACATACCTTAGGGAAATGGAGGTAACTGCTCCCTGAATCTACTCTTGATACTGCTGTTTATTTACTGTGGGGAAATGAAATTAAGATGATGTTTTTAAATTTTTTAACTGCCAGTTAATTACTCTAATACTATATTTAAGTTTCTAGCATGTAGCTAGTATCTGTTAATGATAGAATATCTAACTGCAATTTTAACACTCAACAGGTTAAATGTAAGCCTAAAGTGGGTTACATGAAGAAACAGCCAGACATTACTAACAGTAT